CGCACCTTGCGCCACCCATGAATCACCGCCGAGTTCACAGCACGCCATTCCATTGACGGGAACCAACCCTTAAACTTCAAATGTCTCTAGCACAGGGCCTAGCTATCCGGCGGCTTCCTCGGGCCCTGGCCGTTTGGCCGCCGAAGTGTTGCTATCTCAAGCCACGCGGTGCGATTTGACATTGGGCCCGATGCTGGGCCCTCCCGGAGCGCCCTCGGCGCGTCCTGGGGGCCTTCCCCGGCCCCTCCCAGGTGCTTTGGGGGCCCCGAGGCGGATCCGAGAGGGCAGGCCGAAGAGGGCATTCTAAGTCGTCATTTTGAGGGGGAGCAAGAGGGAATTCGTTGCAGGCGGTCCTCGGTCTTGGAGCCCTCTTTGGGTCCCCTCGGATTCTTTTGGGGCCCTCCATGGCCTTTCTCCGGCGCCCCCCGGGCAGTCTCGGGGCCCCGCGGGGGCTCCGAGAGCTTCCTCCCGGTGGGGCCTCGAGGTGGCGCAGTTTCAAGTCGCGCGCTGCAGATTCAAACTGAGACCTCTCGGTGTCTGCTTAGAACCCGCCCGGGCTTCCCGCGGGGCTCTCCAGAAGTCTCCTGGGGTCGTCTCAGGAGCGGTTTCGGGGGCCCAGGGGCGCGCGGGAAGGTGTCGCTTCGAGCTCCGCTAGGCGGGGCTTCGCCGGCGGCCCGCAGGGGTTTCTCTTGGGGCCCTGCTGGGATTCTGTTCTGGCTTCCGGGGTCCTCGCGGGGCCGCGTCGGCCTAGCTTCGGACCCCCGTAGAGGCCGCCGGGAAGGGGGGGGCGGCGGCGAGGGCAGGGGGTCGCTGGGGGCGGCGGCGGGCCCGGTGACCAACGGGGGCGGGGGAAGAGGAGGGGGCGAGCGATTATCAGCGATTTTCATCGCATTCGTTTAAAGCGCAGCCAAAGAAGACGAGAAGGGGGAGGGGGGGGGCGGAGGAGGGGGATCGCCTGAAGTCACGCAGCGGCTCAGCGCTGCCTTTCGAGACGGCCCAGGCACCCCCCGCTGCGTTTCAATGAGGCCCTAGGAGGACCGCCAGCAGTGCTTCGAGAAAGGGCTCTCGAATCTCAGGGCGGCGACTACGCCGTTCCGCGCTCAGGGAATCGTTTGGATTACGGTTTTGTTCTGTGTGTCATCGGCAGTTGCGCTGGCTGTCGCGTGAGCCCCGCAATCGAAGATGCCGCGGGTCGTGCGCGCGCGTGTCTTCGCGCGACTGAATTGCGCGACCAGTCGTCCCGCTTTGCCGCTATGGCGTTATTAGGCGTTGCTTCGCTGCTGTCTTGCGCCCGGTTCTGCGTGCGCGCGCCCCCAGTATCCAGTTGTCGGTGCATCGCGCGGAAGAGATCGACTTGCTGGCGGCATTTCCGCGAGCGCGCGCGCCGCGCTCGGACCCGAGTTGCGCGGCGCCAGAGCTTCGTTTGGCAGCCCGGGCAGCGCGCGAGAGCGCGCGCGCATTCGCCCTGGCGGGCTCAAGTATGCGATGTCAGCGCCAACGTTGCAGCCTTCAGCCGCCGCGCGCCCTTCCTCGTGCGACGTGCGCCGTTGTCGTGGCGAAGCTGGCTCCGATTGAGATCCGCGCGCAATGCTGCGTTCGCAGACTGAAGCGCCGGCGCGAAAACGCGACGCAACACCGCAGTCTATTCGGGGACCATGCGGGCGCCGTTCGGACGCCATGATATTTTTTGGCCCGTTCGCCCGCGACTTGTCCAACGTGCATATCGAGACTTCGTGCCAGCAGTTCGCCAACTGGCGCCTCGCTCGGGGCGCGCCCGCGCAGGCTGCGGAGGAGATCGACAGCGCGATCGGCGTGCTCCTGGGCGAGATGTTCTTCGACGGGCGCCATGCCGAGGCTGGGTCCAGGGCGATCGCCGCGGCGCGCCGCGCCCGCCCCGACGCGGCCGCGTCGGTGGACCTTGCCCGTCGAAGGGGTTCCGCGTGCTGGCGCCCCCGAGCGACCTCCTGCAGTCGCGTAGCCCGTCGGCGGCGTCGCCGCAGCCAGGGCGGGGAGTCGGCGCGTGGAGCTTCCTGCTGTGTCCGGGGGGGGTGAGGCTGCGGGGCAAGGCGAAGCCGTTCGACGAGGGGGCCCAGCTCGCCTCGGCGGGCTCGGCCGCGCTCGGCCCCGCCCGCTGGCGTTTGCGACGCGGCCAGGGCTATCTGCCGCCGTGGAGCTTCGACGCCCGGGCGTTCGGCTTGCTCGTCGGGAAGTGCGCGGACGCGATCAATCTGGAGGACCCGCATCCGTGTCGAGGGCGGCGCGGGTCGGCCAGTTAGGACATCGCCGTCGGGGGAGGTCGATCGAGGCGGCGCAGGCTCGGCTGCGGCGCGCCAGCGCCGCCAGCTCACAGCGCTACAGCAGGGCGGCGCAGTGCGCCGCCGAGCTGGGGGGGGCGCCGAAGGGCGTGGGGGATTTCGGCGCCGCAGTGCTGGCGCGGCGGGCGCACGTGCTGCAGGGCCGCGGCCGACTGCCAGCCCGCCCCCTGCGCCCGCCAGCGGCATGGCGGGGGTCGCAGGTGGCGTGTTCGATCCGCTGGAGGCCGTCTCCCTCGCCTCTTTCCGCAAACGCGCGCAGCGTGTGTTCGACGAAGATCGGAAAGGTGAGCCCGGCGCTCCAGTCTACATGGATTTGTTTCCATGCCGCGGAACAGTAACCGCCAAGCTGGAGTCGTGCAGCGATTTTGGGTATGTTAGAGTCGATGTGCGCCTCGCTCCTTGGTCGGATATGTCTGACATCCGTTGGGTCAAGATTCTTGTTCGGTGGATCGGTGCAGGTGCTGTGTGGGGAGTCTGGCTTGCCCCCCTTGTAGCACTTGGTCTGTGTCGCGGTCTTTGCAGGCCCCCTGCCAATGTCTGCGGCTGCCCCGATCTTGGCCCCGCTGCTCGTGGTAAAGTCCAGTTCGGTATGATGATTTTCAGACGCTCCTATGCTGTGTGTGATGGCTTGTCTCAAGTGCGGCGCGCCTGTTGCCCCCGAGAACCCGTTGGCCAGTATGATGTGGCAAGGATTCTTTTTTGCTGGTGTTAGTACCCTTGCCACTTGTACTACTGCTTCGTTTGAAGTTTGCGCCCATGGGGCCATGCGCAAGGAAAGCACCCGGCTGGTTGCTTGGCACTCTGCCCCCCCCCATCGCGCTCTTCCTCAGGTGTGAGACGTCTGGCAGGAGGTGTTCTTTCTTTGGTCGGCCTCACATTGTATTGCAGGGCGAAGCGCCGTGTGGGTGGCAGTGGACCTCTTTGGCAGAGCCCCACCCTGCTCCCGCGGCCAGAGCCATGGCCCTCTGGCTGTCTTGAGCCGCGGATCGAACACAGCTGGGCAATCTCATACGCATCCGCAATCTGTAGTGCACGTGCCGGCCGGAGGCCAGGTTTTGGTATTTGGGCGTTGTTTGCACGTGCGCGTTTTGTGTGTGTAGGTTTGTGTGTGTATGTGTATGTATGTGTGTGTGTGTGCGTGCGTGCGTGCGTGCGTGCGTTCGTGCGTGCGTGCGTGCGTGCGTGCGTGCGTGTTTGCGTGCGCGTGCGTGTGCGTGTGTGTGTGTGCGTGTGTGTCTAGGCGGCCAAGCACGCCGCCCCCAACGCAGTTGTTATTCTTCTGGTCGAACAATGTGCGAGTGGGGGCATGGTCGCGTTTTCAAATAGCCGTGTCCCTAGCCACCCGCGGCCGTCAATGCCTGCCCGTCGGCTTCTCTCTCAAGCTCTCCTCCGTCCCCCCGTCCCACTTGCCAATGTAGACTGATTCCCGAAAAGGGAATCCAGCCTTGATTTCTGCAGAGTGTTGCAGGCGCGTGTACGCTGCGTGTGTGTGTGTGTGTGTGTGTGTGTGTGTGTGTGTGTGTGTGTGTGTGTGTGTGTGTGTGTGTGTGTGTGTGTGTGTGTGTGTGTGTGGGGGTGTGTTTGTTTGTGTGTGTGTGGGTGAATGTGTTTGTGCGTGTGTGTGTGTGTGAATGCTTCGGCGGCCCAGCCCGCCGCTCCCACTAAAGACGTTGTTTTTCCGTCAGAAGGACTGTGCGGGCGGGGGCAGATGTAGATACGTATGTGTATCCGTGTCTCTCTCTCTCCCTCTCCCTTTCTTTCTCTCTGTCTGTCTCTCTCTCTCTCTCTCTTTCTCTCTGTCTCTCTTGTTTTTGTTCCCCCCCCGTCTCTATGGCAGTATCTTTCCCTCCATCCCTCCCTTCCGCCCTCCATCTTTTTCTGACAGCCGACGAGCAACATCGTGAAGATATACCGACACGTCCAAGCAAACGGCATTTCGGAAGTTCAACTTAAGGGGCCGACCACACCCTTTTCCGCCTTTTTTCATAGTGCCTCCTTTTGCTTTTCCCGGAGAAATAGGAGGAAAGGCTGGAGGAAATGGAGGAGGGAACGCGTTCCTCCCCTTCCGCCCCGATTTCCTTCTCTGGCCTCGTCTGCCCCCGGTCCCTCCATCTTCCCTCTTTCTTTCCTTCCCGCAGTGCCGAGGCTCTCTGCTTCCCGGAAGTGTCCTGTCCAATCCGCTCCAATCCTTTTCCTCCTCCCCCCTCCCCCTGGCATCGCTCGCACGTGTGTGCGGACTGAGCAGTACCCACCCAGTCCCCAGGAGGGTAATCTATTGCGGGGGGGTCGCGGGGCCGTGCCGCTCACGGGGCTTCGGCGCAGGGAGGGTTGCGCTTCTTCTGTGGGTGCGTTTCCTGAGCTTCCTCCTGCGCTAACAAGGATTAGGATGTAATTCTTGGAGGGTTTAGTTCCAATTCGGCGTTGGTGCATCCCTGGTCGAAAATTTGCCCAAATCGTCTTGACGCGGTTTCGATCTCGCTTAATTGTTCTAAATCAACCTTCATCCAGCCGAATCGGCTTAATCCTAGACTTACTCTGGCCCAAATCCGGAGCAGTGACCCCACAGTCGGGTTTAACACTCATTTACTGGTTTCGACGAAGACATCCCAGGAGTTGCCTCGCAACACTGAATTCCAAACCAGTCCTGCCCTCCCTCCCTGCCCTTCTCTCCCCTGTTCTCCCGAGGAGCGTCGGAGGCAGCGCCACCTGCGGGAATTCGCCACCCGGTGGCCGGTGCGGCAGGAGCGCGCGCCTCTTCTGGGAGGGAAGCGCTCCCTTTTCCGGGAGGGGCGGGGTGGGCAGAGAGATCGGGGGCGGCCAAGAGGGGGGTGATGACTAGGGGGGTAAATATCATGGCTGGGGCCATCATATTTTCCTAGATTTCATGGTGCCTGCTCTTATTTCAGTACGTATACGCCCCCACCCCCCTGGACCGCGCCCGTGACGCCGGCCATGATTTGCGCACCTCCCTCTTGGACGCCCCCCTTTTGGGCGCCCCCGAAGGGAACGGAGGGAGGCGGAGGGGCTGATGATGAGGAGGACGCTCGCCGCGCCAAGGCTAATTCGTTGTGCACTTGGACTTGGTCGGCTTTTTGATGCGTCTTATTGTCACCGAGCGCTACACTCTTGGCACGTGGAGTTCGCCCAACGCAAAAGGAGGAGGAGGAGGAAATGGAGGAGGAGGAAGAGGAGGAGGAGGAGGAGGGAGCACCTTAGTAGACCCCGAGACGCATCAACGATGCTGCAATGCGCCTTCACGTCCTTACGAACCTTCCCTTCCATTTCAAGAAGCGCCCCTCCTCACTATTCCCTACAAGCCTTCATTTCCACTTCAAGAAGCGCCCCTTTGAAAGACCAGCACCCGATTGGCCTGTCATTCAAGTGAGAACCCTTTTGTGAAAAGGAGATAGCTGCCTTGCATCCTCCCAGAGGCATAAGAAACGCGCGGCAGTGTGTTCATACAACTCGAAGAGGTGTCCAGCCAGACCCCAGTTTTGAAGCAGGACTGATTCATCTGTGCAACTGTTGCACAGATTGTGGCCACGAGCGTCGGGGACGTCAGCCCCATTCTAAAAAGGGACCGCCCAGCTGGTACGTTTGCTCAAGCTTCTGTTTCTCGGCGGCGAGGGAGGGGAGGAAATGAGAAGGAGAAGGCCTTCTCAGAAGGTGGCTGGACTTCTCAGAGGCCCTCGCGCCTTCTGAGAAGTTGTTTTTGTCTTTGGAGAAGGCTTAGCCTTCTCAGAAGGCCAGGGGACATACCAAACCTTCTGAGAAGGCCTTCTCCTTCTCACACACCCCCGCTCGCCGCCGAGCTTCCAAAATATTCGCACACGTCGTCAAGCGAACGCCGAGGTTGTCTGAAGAGGAACCACCCTGCGACCGTACAGCCGTTGCATAGAAAGTCCCACGAAGTCTCGAGCGACAGCCGAGCCTTGACACGACACCGCCCACAGTGCCTGGAACTGGTGAGCGTTGTTGGGGGCCGAGAGTGCGCGGCGCCAGGGCGAGAACCCAACTCTGGGGAAAGGAGCCGCACTCCCCCTGCAGACTCGGACGCCCCCATTGCCTATTCTGAGCATGGCGCCGGCCCGTTGACGCTGTCGCAATGTCTGATCGGGGGCGGCAAAGAGGGGGGGTGATGACTAGGGGGGGGTGGATACCATGGCGAGGGCCATGATATTTCCCCAGATTTCATGCTGCCTCTTCTTGTATCATTACGTCCCTGGCCCCCCCGCTGGGCCGCGCACATGCCGCCGGTCATGATTTGCACCCCCCCCTCTTGGACACCCCCCTCTTGGCCGCTCCCGATCTGATGCCGAACGTTCGCGCTGCTACGGCGAGAGCCATCTTTGTTGACGCGCATCCGCTCTCTATCTCTGAAGTTGTTGCAGACTTGCATGACGAATGTGCAAAGCGCTGAGGCAAGAGCTTCATTTTGAAAACGACCCCCTTCATCCTTGAAGCCGCTGCAAGCTTTTAAGACGAATGAGGGCGGCGTTGAGGCGAGAGCCACATTTGAGCATCACCCCATTTATCATTAAAGCTGTTGCAAACTTGTGAGTCATGTGATCGACGCTGAGGCGAGAGCCACTCCCCGAGAAGCTGATGCAAGCTTTTGTAGAAGAACATGCGCGGCGCTAGGGCGAGAAATTTATTTTGAGAACGCCCCCCTCCATCCTTGAAGCTGTTACACGTTTGAGGAAGTATCAATCGAAACGCCCGGCCCGCCCTACCAACGCGTTTGGGGGTCCGAGTGCAATGGGGAGGGTTTTTCTTATGCATTCAGGAAAACGGGTTTATGAGGAGGGAGGAGGAGGAGGACGATGGAGGAGGAGGAGGGGGGGAGGAGGGAGGGGGGAGCGAATCAGGGGGACCCAGATCGCCGAGGATTTTTTTCAATACATGTTTTTTGTTCCCCAACCATCCTGTGGTGTTGGGTCCTCGTTTTGAAGAGACAGCGCCCCGCGTCTCACATCCTCCCGCTGCCCCCTCTCTCCTCCCCCTCCTTCCTCCTCCCATCCGCCTCGTCATCGTCATCGTCATCTCGTCATCGTCCTGATCCACATCATCATGATCATCACCATCGCTATTGTCAGCCCGCGCCCCTCACACGGTTCGTGGCACCACGGGGAGCTCCACCGAAGGCCACAGTGGCAGCGGTTGCATGGGTCACCGCCGCCCCATTTTGGCACAACCCTCACACGGTTCGTGGCCGAAGGCCTCAGCGGGAGCGTGGGCATGGCACCGCCGCCTCATCTCGGCACACCCCTCACACGATTCGTGGCCCCATAGGGAGCTCCACCAAAGGCCCCAGCGGGAGCGTCCGCATGGCCTTGCCGCCCCATTTCGGCACACCCCTCACACGGTTCGTGTCCTCATAGGGAGCTCCACCAAAGGCCCCAGCGGGAGCGTCGGCATGGCCCTGCCGTCCCATTTCGGCACACCCCTCACACGGGTTCGTGGCCCTAGAGGGAGCTCCACCGAAGGCCTCAGCGCGAGCGTCCGCATGGCACCGCTGCCCCATTTCGGCGCACCCCTCACACGGTTCGTGGCCTCATAAGGAGCTCCATCGAAGGCCCCAGCGGTAGCGTCCGCATGGCATTGCCCCCTCATATGGCACACCTGTCAGACGGTTCGTGGCCCCAACATGGAGCTCCATCACAGGCCCCAGCGGGAGCGTCTGCATGGCACTTCCACTCCATTTCGGCACACCTCACACGGTTCGTGGCACCATAGGGAGCTCCACCGAAGGCCCCAGCGGGAGCGTCCGCGTTGCACCGCCGCCCCATTTTGGCATGTCATTCACACGGTTCGTGGCCCCAAAGGGAGCTCCACCGAAGGCCCCAGCGGGAGCGTCCGCATGGCATTGCCGTCCCATTTCGGCACACCCCTCACACGGGTTCGTGGCCCCATAGGGAGCTCCACCGAAGGCCTCAGCTTGAGGGTCCGCATGGCACCGCTGCCCCATTTCGGCGCACCCCTCACACGGTTCGTGGCCCTAGAGGGAGCTCCACCGAAGGCCCCAGCGGAAACGTCCGCATGGCACCGCCGTTTTCATTCCGGCACACCCCTCACACGGTTCGTGGCCCCATAGGGAGCTCCACCGAAGGCCCCAGTGGGAAAGCTCGCAAGGCACCGCCGCCCCATTTTGCGCACACCTCACATGCTTCGTGGCTCCATAGGGAACTCCACGGAAGGCGCCAATTGCGACGTTCGCAGGAATCCTTCCGACTCATGTCCGCACACCCTTCACACGTTTCGTGGCAGAAGGCTATACCGCGTGCGTTACTCGGGGTTTGCGCGCCCTCCTCCTTCGTCTCATCTCCCTCGCGGCACTCGCAGTTGCATATGGTTGGGTCTTTCGTCGGGCTAATCCGTAAGGGCTTCGCCCCCTGCCGCGGGCCCCCTCTCTCGGAGAATGGGCCATGGAAGAGCTAAGTCATGAGGCCTTGGCGCTGTCGTGAAGCAGTATCGAAACTTCATGCGAAGCCGATTCGCAATCAGCAAAACCAACTGATCACAAGAGGGGTTACCACACCTGGCGATTGGTAAGACGTGTATGGTTTACGGGCTTGGTTACCACACCTTGCGATTAAAGGGCCGAGGGAGTTCTCGCAGTTTGGGTTACCACGCCTTGCGATGGATGTGCGTGAAGGGTGGCACCGAATTTCAGAAATGTGGCAAATCCCCTGTGTTTTTGGACCCTGACCCCGCGGATCTGCGTAAGGGGTGGCGCCGAATTTCAGAAATGTGGCAAATCCCCTTTGTTTTTGGACCCTGACCCCGCGGATCTGCGTGAGGGGTGGCACCGAATTTCAGAAATGTGGCAAATCCCTGTGTTTTTGGACCCTGACCCCGCGGATCTGCGTGAGGGGTGGCACCGAATTTCAGAAATGTGGCAAATCCCCTGTGTTTTTGGACCCTGACCCCGCGGATCTGCGTGAGGGGTGGCACCGAATTTCAGAAATGTGGCAAATCCCATGTGTTTTTGAACCCTGACCCCGCGGATCTGCGTGAGGGGTGGCACCGAATTTCAGAAATGTTGCAAATCCCGTGTGTTTTTGAACCCCGACCACGACCGCCCCAACGACCACGACCCTCCCCGACGACCACGACCGCCCCCAACGACCAACGCCCCCGACGCCCTGCCCTGACCACGACCGCCCCCTCCCCCGTCCACGACGACGACCTCCTCCGTCCGCCCCCTCGTTCCTGCTTGCTCTGCGCTGCCTCTGCCGCTCCCCTCCCTCCTCCTGTCCTGTTCGGCGTTTGTTCGCAATGCTTTTTCTTCTTGCCCCTCCTCCTCCTCCTCCTCCTCCTCCTCCTCCTCCTCCTCCTCCTCCGCCTCTTCCCTCTTCTCTTCCGTGCCTCCTTGAGCTTTGGCGCTGACTCTCGGCTAGTTGGTAGGGTCGGCCTGCTCGGCCTTCGTCGCCGTCGGCGAGATGAGCTGTGCGGTTGGCCTCAGATCTTTGGGGCCTCTTCAGGCCCTCTTGGCTTGTTTCGGGGTGGCACCGAATTTCAGAAATGTGGCAAATCCCCTGTGTTTTTGGACCCTGACCCCGCGGATCTGCGTGAGGGGTGGCACCGAATTTCAGAAATGTGGCAAATCCCATGTGTTTTTGGACCCTGACCCCGCGGATCTGCGTGAGGGGTGGCACCGAATTTCAGAAATGAGGCAACTCCCTTGTATTTTTGGAGCCTGACCCCGCGGATCTGCGTGAGGGGTGTCGATTTCGAGCCCCCCCAGCAATTCAGACAACGCGCCCAGGGGGTGCTAAAAATCTGGTTTGGGCCTCCCCCCCCCTCGCGCGGTCAATCAACTAGTTACAGTAACCAGCAATAAGTCAACTAGTTTCAGTAACCAGCAAGAAGCAGAACTGTAACACTGGAAACTACAAGCTACAACTGGTACAGGAAACTGCGAACCTCGCTCCTACAGCCTGGTGGCCCCACAAGGGGGCCGGCGGATTTTCATGCTTTCAGCTGGCAGTGCTTTGTGTCGTGCACTGGGACCCTCAGGAACGGATCGGGGGCGACAGCTATCCCCAAGGAAGGGGTCGTGGCCTGGGGCCACCCATGGACAAAAACACATCGCCGGACGTCTGGGTAAGGAGAGGAGGAGGGCGAGGGGGAGGGCGAGGGGGATGGAGGGGTGGAGGGAAAAGCAGACGGAGAGAGGAGGGAGACGTGGAGGAGGGAGGGAGTGAGGGCGGGAGGTACGGGGTGGAAGTTGGGAGGACGAGGAGGACTTGAGGTGATATTGCCTTGGGGCGTCTCAGCCCCGTCAGCGGGCCCAGTTTTCTGGACCCGCCACCTTGTAGGGCACGCTGGCCTGATGTAGCAGATGGCCTGATGCCATCTGGGCCCAGACCGCACGGGCTGAGCCAACGAGTCAAGCGAGCCTGGGCACCGTGGCCCAGGCACTGCGGCTCCAGCGTTGACGTGCATCTTGGCACCTTCGTGGCCGCGTAATCACATTGGCACCATGCTTGTAATCACTGCAATCACGGCCCTTCGGCAGTTCGGGGATGTACCCACCTGTATCTTTATTCTCATTCTATCCTCCGTCACCTCTCCCCTTCCGCGTTGCCTTACTTTCAGCACCTGACTATCGGATGATACGGGGTGAGGGAAGAAAGCAGGTGGTGGGGGACACTTGAGGAAATCTGATGTGGACATCAAGAAACCGAAGGCCTCAGTCATCAAGTGTGGGCGCGAAGCACGCGCCCGAACCCGGATGAAGCACCAGAGGCACCTCGAGTAGCATCACACGATACAGCTTGGGGTTGCCACTGCACGAAGGGGTCCTTAGTGGACAACTGTGAGTGTGTATTTTCGGTGGCTCCACTTCTGCTGCGCCCGCGCGCAGGCCTGGCGCACCCGCCCCCCAGGTACCCACGACTGAGGGCCCACGCGCTCACCGGAGGACCTCTCGCACCCGACGGAGGACACGAGGGGAGGAGGAGGAGCTACCCACACCGCTACCCTTCCCTCGTTTTCCCCTTCTGGGGTCTCCTGGGAGGCCCTCGTCGCCACCGCTGGATTCGCCTCGAAATTCCGGTAAGGACTCGCCCTGGGAGAGGTTCGGGGAGTGACGGCACCGGTACTTCTCGGTCCTTCTATAAGAGGGGAGCAGGACGCCTCGAGCTGAGGAGCCTCACCAGAAGGCCCTCGCGTGCCTCCCAGGGGCCCTCACTGGAGGGCCTCTCCTATTCTCAGAGGGGCGCCATTGGGCTCCCGTGGCTGCGAGGGGGTGCGGGGGATGAACCTGAATGCACGATGGTCGCCCATGGCCTTCGCCTTCGCCTCGCGCCTTCGCCTTCGCCCGCCGAAGCCGCGGAGGGATGAGGTGAGAACGAAGGCCTGCTTCACGAGCGGGTCAAGAAATGGTGGCGACAGAAGGGCGCAGGAAGGATGGGGACGTGTTGGCATTCCCCGCAATGGCCGCTCACAGGGTAGGACAGGTAACAGGGCACCTGTAAGAGGAGCGCGTCTCGGAGGGAGGGGTCTGGGGGATGGGGGCACAGAGGAGGAAGAGTTGAGAGAGGAGAAACCATGTAAGGGAAGGGGAGGGGGTCGGGAAGGTCGAGGTATCCCACTTCGAAGGATAAATTTGTTGGCGAGGGCGTGTGGGTGAATCGGGGGGACCCACCCCACGAGGGACCCGTGCATGTGCGCCATTCCATTCGGGAATGTGGATAGCACGGATGTGCGGAGGCAGAATCGGGGGGGCCCGACCCCCGCTTAAGACACGCGCAGCTGTCTCCCACCACTTGGCATGACGTCGAAGACGAGGGGGTGCAGCAAAATTGGAACTCCCGTTGCTCTCCTCTCTCCCCCCCGAGCGTATCGGAGGGAGGAGGAGGAGGAGGAGGAGGAGGAGGAGGAGGAGGAGGAGGAGGAGGGTGAGGGGGACTTGGAGAAGGAAGGAGTTGAGGACAACACCGGCAGACGGAACCGAGCGGAGAGCCCAGGTGCCAGGAGCCTTGGGATGCGGGCCGGCACAGAGCGGAGACACACACGGAGACGTGGGCGCAGACCACAGGAGGGCCTGGCTCCCCCAGAGCCTCGAATCCAGGAATCCCGGCCGGGATCGAGCGCTTGGGAGTCCGGCGTGAATCGAGGGCCTGGAATCCGGGCTCGAATCGAGCACCTCAGAATGGGCCCGGGTTTCCGGCTCGAATGGACCATCCAGGATCCAGGCGCACATCGAGCGAATGGTATCGAGCACACGAGAAAGGGCCATGGATTCCAGCTCGAGTGGAGCACCCAGGGTCACTCCTTCCGCCCTTCGCAGGGGGACTGCAGCTGGCAGATGCGCTGCCGCCGCGGCCGCGCGGCTCCACCGCAGCAGCAGACGCGAACCGAGGGCTATGCTTACGCCGGGAATGTCCTTGTACAGGAGGAATATTTAAAAATGATCAAAAATAGTGTGGGGACGATATTTCGACTGTTTGTGGCTTTTCTGGAATATTTTTGGATTTTTCAATTTCGCCCAAAATCCGCCTGTAGGAGGGCATGCCCGACCTGAGGCCATGCCGACCAAGACGTTGACCGCGGGCCAAAGGACGCGTGCACGAATCCCGCACCACGAGGAAGCGTGAGCGGCATGGGAGGTTCAGCAGAGTCGGGGGTGCCACCCTCACGAGAGGCACACGCCTCTGTCTCGCTCCGTGGGATGGCGTCGGCGACGAGGGGGGTGCAGCACAATCAGGGCATCCCCCGTTGCTGTCTCTCCCCCTCCGCGTAACCCCGAGGGGGGAGGGGTGATCTGCTCCACGGGAGGACGCATGCTGGAGCTGCGGTTGACATGGTTACCCCTAGCCACGTGACGGAGTGAGGAGGAGGAGGAGGAGGAGGAGGAAGAAAAAGACTTGGATGGGGGAAACATCCCGGAGTAGAAGGAGTAGGATGAGGAGGAGCAGCTGGAGGGTCAGGAGGATCAGGAGGATCAGGAGGGAGGGAGGGAGGCATGGGGAGGATCTTCATCCCATGGCCCCAGAGATCGACACCGTCTATCGTTTTGATTTGGGGAAGCGTTCGTTTGCCCCCCATCTCTGGTCACATGATGTTGGCAGCGATTTGCTGCCCGCTGTCCGTGGCTTGGCTGTTGACCGAATCGACCGCCAGGAGGAGGTGGAGGAGGCTGAGCAAGAGAGAAAAGAAGGTGGTATGTGGAGGAGGAGGAGGAGGAGGAGGAAGAGGAGGAGGAGGAGGAGCGAGCGAGCGAGCGAGCGAGCCGCCACGAACGCTACCGCGAGCGCCGCCGCGGGCGCCGCCGCCGAGCCGCCGCGAACGCCACCGCGAGCGCCGCCGCGGGCGCCGCCGCCGAGCCGCCGCGAACGCCGCCGCCGAGCTGCTTCCGCCGCCGCTGCCGACACCACGGCCCGTGAGGAGGGCGACTGCACCCCCGCGCAGACGAGCGCCGTGGCGGCGTCGTGGACCGCGGCGGCGCCCTGGACGCCGCTCGGGGAGCAGGGCATGGCCGTGACGCCGCCAGAGCCGGCGACCGGAGGCGCCGTGGGCGGAGCGACGACGACGAAACGACAGAGGCGACGAGGAGACGACGGCGAGGACGCAAACGTTGGCGACGGCGACGGAACCACGACGACGAGGCTGACGACGGCGACGACGTTGACGGCGACGTCGACACTGACGACGACGACGACGTTGACGGCGACGTTGACGACGACGACGATGCCGACGACGACGAAGATGCCGACGACGACGACGACGATGCCGACGACGACGCGACGACGAGACAACGACGACGACGACGTTGACGGTGACGACGACACTGACGACGACGACGCTGACGGCGACGTTGATGACGACGCACACGACGACGACGACGACGACGACGACGACGACGACGACGACGACGACGACGACGACGACGACGACGACGACGACGACGACGACGACGACGGCGGCGGCGGCGGCGGCGGCGGCGGCGGCGACGACGACGACGACGACGACGACGACGACGACGACACACGTCGACGACGACGACGTTGACGACGGCGACTGAACCTCGACCAGGGCGACTGGTCATCGAGACTGTGATTCCCGAGCAACCCCCGGCGGCGCCTCCAGCGCCGCTCCTGGCGCCGCCCCTGGCGCTGCCGCTGGCGCGCTCCGCGCGCCAGGGGAAGGAAGCCCAGCGCCGAAGACACGGCAAACTTCACGGAGGGCGCGAGGGCTTCTGAGAAGTCCCAGCGTTTCCCGAGATGGCCTGCCCCCCCCGCGTGCTCCCCCCCGCCTGGCGCGCCGCCGAGAGGCGTTCTGCTGCGCCGTTCCAGTGGTGCCGGGCCTCTTGGGCGGGCCCCCCCGCGGCAAGAGGACGGTCCCCCCAGAAGGGCTGCCGAGGGCCCCCGAGCCCTGTGGCGCCCAAAGACACCGCTGTCCCTCAAGCGCTCGCGTGCGTGCCAGCCTTAATTAGTGCCTTCCGCGGAGTGCTGAAGGCACGGTGACGACTTTGCGTGACAGGAGGCAGACGAGGAGAAGGATGGAGGGGTGTCCGAAAGGGCGGGCGGCGGGGGGCAGAGAGATTAGGAGGGGCAGGAGTACAAAGCAGTGGGCGAGGGGAAGGTGGGAGGACAGATGCTCGGGGGGAGCGGGGAGGCAGAGGAGGCAGTGGAGGCGGGAGTAATGGGATGATGAGTGGGAAGGGGGGGGAGAGGAAGATGGATGACCATGGAGTGCGTGGGATGAAGGGCGGACTGGGACGAGACGTGGAGGAGGAGACTGAGTGTGATGACGGGCGGAAGCTGGAGGATGAATATATGGAGGAGGTTACAATGATGAGGCCGAGGAATGGGCCAAGTGGTGTGCGGGCCGTGTCCAGATTCCAGATGCCCTTCGAAGGGCCTGAAGTTCGACCTGAGGTCAAAGTTCTCAAGAATTGTTCAGTGGGCGATAGACGGTGTACTTTGTCACCTAGGCGGCGCAAACAACGGGGTCGACTGTGCCAACATTGGCGGGCAAGCTGCCCGTGTAAGGTCACGCGTGAGCGCCCTCGCCTCCAATGTGGCGTGACGCGCTGACGGCCCGCGTAAGCTGTGGCGTAAGCTCGTCATGGCGTTTCGCGGAAGACCCGGTGTTGATCGTGGATCACATGTCCCAGGGCGGTCGAGAAGTTTATACCCCTGCGGTGGCAGGCGGGGGTATGAATTGTCCAGGGCCCCAGGGCAAGTGCCCAACAAGGGCGGACAAGTGTATTCTGCACGGGTAGGTTCTGCGATTGCTGAGTTTGTGCCGAACAAGTTTGCGCCCCTCGCGGCGCTAAGGCGCCACGAGAGGCGCAGCAACCTTCGTTCGGCAGCTGTTGAGGGGGGAAGTGAGAAGCAGAAGACCTTGGCAATAGGAGGCGGGACTTCTCAGAAGCCCTCTGGCCTTCTGAGAATTTCTGTTTCTCTGGGGAAAGCTTAGAACACTTCTCAGAAGGCTGGTGGTCTTCCGAGCCTTCTGAGAAGGCCTTCTCTTTCTCACTTCCCCACCTCGCTCCCCGCCGACATCTTCGTGCTCTCGCGCCATCGTCCTGGAGCATGACTGAGGACAGCTCAACCCACCCCCACCTCCACCAGCATCCCCACCCCCGACCTGGTGAACCAGGGGGGTCCTGGCCTTTGTGGGCCCCGGAAACGGCAGGGCCGTTTTTTCATTTTCCCCAAAAAATGTCCCTTAAAAATGGAAGCGACAAAAAGCGGCGACTGGAAACGGCAAAAAAACGGCTCCAGGATTGGAACCGGAGCCGGAACCAGTCAAAAAACGGCGACGGAACCGGTAAAAAACGGCGTTGGAACCGGCAAAAAACGGCAAAACGGAACCGGTAACAAAAACGGCCCTGTCGTTTCCAGGGCCCACTAAGGTCCTGGCTGGGGGATGGGAGTGTTTCGGGGTTCTCGGGGAAAGCCCTCCCACCCCCAGCCATGACACCCTGGATCTCCGAGTGGGGAGTGGAGGTCGGCCCTGGTGTGAGTTGGGCGAGGGGGGGTGACTATGCTGTCCTCAATGGCGGCCCTGGCCCAGGAAGGGAACGTCCCCCGATGCAGCCTGGACCCTCCGCTCGCCCGCGGAGTGGTGGCCAACGCGTGGCCCGTGCGCGCTCCTGGCAGCACCGACCGTGCTGCCGCGCGCGTGAAAGTTCAGGGGCTAGCGCGCCCGCCCGCCCGCCCGCCCCCGTGGCCTCGACGCCGCGAGCCGTCGGAGGCCCAGAGCCTGGCATCAGCAGCAATGTCGGCGGTGTGCCTCCAGCGAGGGGAATTGATTCGGATCTCGGCCATGGTGGTCATAGTCGGGCCGAGACACGACTACCAACACACCCAAAGCTAGGATCTTCTTCCTCCTTGGTGGAAGCGTGCCCCCCTGTGCTGGTGGTGGTGCCCCTGTGCAAGCCTCCCAACGTTGGCAGAGGCTGGGGCCCGAGGCTGCGGGCGGCAGGGTGGCACGCGGCCGGTGAAGCCGCCCAGGCTCGGCGGGGAAGGGCCGCTGGTGCCCTTGAGCGGCCCGCTGGCGGCTGTGTGTGTTTCGTGTGCTGTGTGCGTGTATGTTTGTGTGTTCTTGTGTGTGTGCGTGTGTGTGTGTGTGTGTGTGTGTGTGTGTGTGTGTGTGTGTGTGTGCGTGCGTGCGTGCGTGCGTGCGTGCGTGTGTGTGTGTGCGTGTGTGTGTGTGTGTGTGTGTGCGTGCGTGCGTGCGTGCGTGCGTGCGTGCGTGCGTGCGTGCGTGCGTGCGCGTGTGCGTGTGCGTGTGCGTGTGCGTGTGCGTGTGCGTGTGTGCGTGAATGTGTGTGCGTGCGTGTGTGCGTGTGTGTGTGTGTGTGCTTGTTCCCCATATCCCCATATCCTAAGTATGGGGTTCTTGTTATTCCCCATATCCTAAGTATTGGGTTCTTGTTATTCCCCATATCCAAAGATGGGGTTCTTGTTATTGGCGGACCGCGCCGGAAGGACACAGAACAGGACAGAACACCACACCCATCACTCAGACACACACGTAAGTTATTCCCCATATCCTAAGATGGGGTTCTTGATTCCCCATATCCAAAGATGGGGTTTTTGATTCCCCACTCACTCATCACTCAGACTCACTCATCAAGACTCACTCATCACTCAGACTCAGTCCTCACTCAGACACACCACTCATCACTCAGACTCACCACTCAGATTCACTCATCACTCAGACTCACTCATGCTCTCTCATCACTCAGACTCAGTCATCACTCAGACTCAGGCGATTCGCTGGTTTCAACACTCCTAAGGGGAGCGGCGGGGGGGTATTTCACTCGGCCCTTTTCGCTGGATGTTGTAGGGATGTCTCAGGCGGTTTGGCCATCTTCTCTTCCAACATGTTTCGCTTTCGGAGCAGATTTGGAGGATGTCTCAGGCGATTCGCTGGTTTCAGCACTCTAAGGGGGGCGGCGGGGGGGTATTTCACGGGGTCCCGTTCGCGGAATGTTGTGGGGATGTCTCAGGCGGTTTGGTCATTTTCTCTTCCACCATGTTTCGTTTTCGGAGCAGATTTGGAGGAAGAGGAGGAGGAGTCAGGAGGAAGAGGAGGAGGAGGAAGAGGAGGAGGAGGAGGAGGAGGAAGAGGAGGATGATGATGATGATGATGATGATGATGATGATGATGATGATGATGATGATGATGATGAGGGGGAGGAGGAAGAGGAGGAGGAGACTGGGGAGGAGGAGGAGGACGAGGCAGGGGAGGAGTAGGAGTAGGAGTAGGCGGAGGAGGAGGAGGACGATGATGAGGAGAAGGAGGCGAGCATGAGCACGAGTAGGAGCAGTAGAATGGGATGATGATGATGATGATGATGATGATGATGATGATGATGATGATGATGATGATGATGGTGATGCTGGTGATGATGATGATGGCGATGATGATGATGATGATGATGGTGGTGGTGGTGATGATGATGATGATGATGATGATGATGATGATGATGATCGCAACGACGATGGCCGCGCCGCTTTTTTGATAATCGAGGAGGAGGAGGAGGCGCAGGAGCAGGAGGAGGAGGAGGAAGAGGAGGAGGAGGAGGAGGAGGAAGAGGAGGAGCAGGAGGACGGGGAGGGGCAGGAGGAGGAGCAGGAGGAACTTCGAACTTCGAGGTCTGGAGGCCCGTTTCGGGCTCCGGCACTGATGATGGTGATGATGATGATGATGATGATGATGATGATGATGATGATGATGATGATGATGATGATGAGGATGATGAGGATGATGAGGAGGAGGGGGAGGGAGGAAGGAGGAGGAGGAGGAGGGGAAGAGGAGGAGTTATTTGGACGCCTCCTACTCCATCTCCTCCTTCCTCCTCCTCTTTCCTCCTCCCCTCCTGTCGGACTTACTCATACTCAGACTTGCTCATACTCAGACTTACTCATACACAGACTTATTCATTCTCACACTTACTCATATTCAGACCTACTCATACTCAGACTTACTCACACTCAGACATACTCATACACAGACGTACTCATACACAGACTTACCTCATACCCAGAC